CACCACAGGATGAGACTTCTTTTAAAGAGCTACTCTTGTATTAACTTTAAAATATTTAATATGGGGGTCAGAGAGGTTGTACAGCGAGTACAAGGTTTTCCTTGATCTTCGACACCTCAGAAGATTCCTTGAACACTGCCAGGTGTGACCCCAAAACAACAAATTTTTAATAGGGCATTAACTGTAGTCACCAAGCTGTATGTTACACCTTCAGGTCTTGCTATTTTATTCCTTAGTCATTCGTAATCTTTAACTTCCTCGCTCTTTTTTTTTGGTCTGCTCCTTTTCCACTCCTCTGGTCTCTGGCAGCCCCCACTCGATTTCTGTTCTCTGTGTCTCGTTTGGTTTTCATTTATCTGTCCATTTTGTTCTATTTGTTCACACCTGGCAGTGTAAGGGACTGTTCCTGGCTCTTTGCTTAGGAGTGATCCCTGAAGATGCTGGGGGACCATGTGTGTGACCAAAATCCACTGCCTGCCAGGCGCCTTTTCTCATGTTCTACCTCTCTGGCCCACTTTTTGTTAAAGATTCTACATATAAGCACTTCTAGTTGTGACCCCCAAACTCTTCTTGCCCTCCCCTCAAAAAGTTTTCCTCATGTAAATGTGGTGAAGTCTTTCTCTTCTTAATTACTTCACTTAGTACAAATTCCCAGTGGTTTGTCTGTCTTGTTGTGACAATATTTCATTCTTATTTTTGTAGCTGAATAATATTTCACATAGATAATACACAGATTTTATGCACTACACTTCCAGTTGTCAGACCCTTAAATTGTTTCAATACCTTGGCTGTTGTAAATAATGTTGCAGTGAACTTGGGGGGTTTTGTTTGTTTGTTTGTTTGTAAGCCACACCCAGTGGTACTCAGGACTTACTGCTGACTCTGTTCAGGGGTTCCTCCTGGTAAGCTCTGGCAAACCCCTGATCCCGGGGGTGCCAGGGATCAAACACAGGTCGGCCACATGCAGGGTAAACACACTACCTACTTCACCCTCAGGCCTGTTACAGTGAACTTGGGGGTGAATATACTCCTACTCATCAGTAGAATTCTGGGCTGTGTCCTATTTTTAATTTTTTTTTTCTTTTTTGGGTCACAACGAGCAATGCACAGGGGTTACTTCTGGCGATGCTCAGGAGACCATATGGGATGCTGGGAATCAAATGCGGGTTGGCCGCGTGCAAGGCAAACGTCCTACCCACTGTGCTATCGCTCCAGCCCACTAGCACAGCAAGTAGGGCGTTTGCCTTGCACGCAGCCAACATGGCCGACCCGAGTTCGATTCTTCTGCCCCTCTCGGAGAGCCTGGCAAGCTACCCGTGACGTATTCAATATGCCAAACACAGTAACAGCAAAGTCTCATGATGGAGACGTTACTGGGCCCGCTTGAGAAAATCGATGAACAACGGGAGCAGGACAGGCATCTCCACACTTTCCCAGAGGCTGAACCATTGCATTCCTACCAACAATGCCTAAGGACTTCCTTTCCTGCGTCCTTGCCATCACCTTTTTGGTAATAGACATTCTAGCAGGAATAAGGCAATGTTTCAGTGGGATTTTCATTTGCGTTTTCTGGTGAAAATGAGCGCCTTCTCATGCCCGCTGGCCATCTGTATGCCCTCTTTGGGAAACTGTTTAGAGTCTCTGCCCACCTTTTAGTTGGATTGTGTGCCTTGTTTTTGTTATTAAGTAGAATGAATTCCTTGATGTGTTTTGACTATTAACCCCTTATCTGATAAATAACTTGTCTTGTTTTGGTTTTGGGGCCACTCCCAGAGATGCTCAGGGGTTATAGCTGGCTCTGCTCTCCAGGTGGGGCTCAAGAAACCATATGGGTTGCCAGGGAACAAGCCCAGGTGGGCTTTTGCAAGGCAAACACCCTGCCCACTGTACTGTGACTCCAGCCTCCAGATAGTTTTAAAGGGCAAGAGGTTTTTAATTAGGTGTATTTTATTCTCTCATGGATTGTGCTTTTTGGAATCATATCTAAGAAATCTTTGCCTGACTCACAGTTACAATGATTATTTCTTTATATTTGCTCCTAAAATGAAGGTCTAGCATTTATATTTAGGTTTGTTCACTATTTTAAATTGGTATTATGTGAAATACAGAGCGACGTTTGTACTTTTCTGGCTTCACACCCGGTGATGCTCAGGTTACTCCTGGCTCTGCACTCAGGAATCACTCCTGGTGGTGCTGGGGGACCATAGGGGATGCTGGGAACCGAACCCAGGTTGGCCGCGTGCAAGGCAAACACCCTACCTGCTTTGCTATCCGCTCCAGACCCAGTTTTTACTTTTTGCTTGTAGAATCTCCAGTTTTTCCACCTTAGTGTACTTTCATACCAGCATTGTAGTTTTCATCTGTGGAAGTTTAACTCTTCCTCCTGTCCTTCCCTTCTAATTCTAGACACTCCGTTGCGGGAGGTGAGTCAAACAAATCTTACTGAGCTTTACACCAGTAAATCTTCCTGAGGGGGGAGGAGCGCTCGCACAGCAAGCAGGGCACTTGCCTTGCATTCGGCTCACCCAGGTTCTATTGCTGCCACCACATACGGTCTCTAAGCACCGAGCGTCAGCCCTGAGCACAACTGGGTGTGATCCAAAAATAAAGTCTTTAAAACAAAATTTTACTCAGCTTTGTATGAGCACAAAATTTTGTGCTGTTTTCTAAAACACTTGGGTGATCTGGAATCAGTTGGTCCTTTTGTGTCTTCTGTGTTTATTAGGTAGATCTGGAGCAGTGCTCCGTTGAGGGGTCCTCTTTCCATCCCCCTGCTGAAGTGAATCTTCCTGGGTTTTTCATCAGCCCTGAGTTTCTCCTGCCAATAACAGTCCCTGGTAACGCCCATGCGTGGGTTCTCTGTGACACCAGGTCTGAACTCAGCGTCTGCCCTGAGCAAGGCCTGTGCTCCTGCTCTTAAAATAACAGGGAGAAGCTTCGCCCCACGTCGTCCCAGAAAAGCTTAAGAGCACTGGGTTGGACAGACAACTTTCCATCATTGTACCAGGGAGCACCCACTCTCCGGGTGAATCAGCATCAGAGACGCGGGGGGGGGGGGGGGGGGGCAGGAGGAGAGAGGCCCCCAGCCTGCCTCTAGTCGGGAGAGCAGCTCCTTCCGGCAGGACCAGATTGATGTGGGGGGATGTGCTTAAGCTGAAAAGTGAAGCGAAAGAAACCCCACACCTGGGGAGGAGCTTAGAATAAGACAAAATTCTGGATTGATGTCTGTAACATCTGGAAGTTGCGTCGGCTTTGTTAAGGCTCAGAAACAAAGCATATAGGGGCCCGGAGTGATAGTACAGTGGGGAGAGTGTGTTTGCCTTGCATTTGCCGGATGTGGTTCAATCCCTGGCATCCCATATGGTTCCTCCATGCACAGCCAGGAGTAATTCCTGAGTGCAGAGTCAGGATTAGCCCCTGAACATCGCCAGGTGTGACCCAAAAAGCCAAAAACAAAAGCGTAGAGAATGTTTTTCAATATTTGCCGTGCATTTATAAGATACTGTGCTGGTTGGAGGGGTGTCCAGTGATGCTTTTTAGAGTATGCTATATTATTTAAACTCTTGAGTTACAACTCTTTGTTTATCATGAAATAAATTTAGGGGCTCACAATGATGATCAGCTTTCAAAACTAATAATGCTTTCCTGGCATTTATTGTTACATGCGAGTTTCGTTTCCTGTATACATGTTCATGTGTGTACTAGGCCCAGAGGTGCCCCAGGTAAGACTCGGTCATCCAGTGCTTCTCCGCTCATCTGTTGGCTGGTTGGAATATTTGGCAGTTGTCCTGGGCTTGTGAGCAGCGCCTGTCCCTTGGCTGTCTCCCAGTGGGGGGCTGGGAACTTTCTCTGAAGTGTCTGCTCAGGTTAGGTGGGGCTCTCCTCCAGGCTTCTTGGTCTTCATGCTGGGATTGTTCCTGTGGGCTGGGTTCCAGGCGTCCCTCTCGGCCTTGTGGGTCTTCTCCATTGAGCCTTTGCAGACAGGGCTCTGGGGCCAGGGACCACCTTGCTGTCCTTGATCCTTTGTCAGGCTCTTCCTGGTTGGTGATGTGACTGCTGGGGCGCTCGCAGTTCCTGAGTTTTCACTAGGTCCGACGAGTGTGGGGCAGGGTGACATGGTTTCAAGTTTAGTGTCTCATGATTCAGCGCTGCACATTTGGCCTGATGAGGCCTTCCGTTTACGGGGGAGATGTTTTAGATGGTGGGACCTGTGTGAGGCCCTGAGTTTGAGCCTTAGCACTGCCTTGGATCCCTTACCCCCTCATCCCCACAAGCATTGCAGCGATAGCCCTGATGGACCTGGAGAACTGAGCCAGGAGGCTGCATGACCAGGCATAACTACGTTCCAAATGACCCTCGAAGCTGCCTGGCACGGCAGAATAAAGATGGTTTAGGCAGCAGTAGTCAAGCTCTGTGACCTCAACGTCTGCCAGCTCCTCTCTGCTCACTTGTTTTGCCTGTGAAACGGGAACAGCTGGGTGGGGAGGGTTAACACGTTGACACGGGTGCTGCCATTAGAGTTAACAGAGGTTGTCTGCCTGGAGTGGAAGCGTTGCCCCGCAGCTCAGCTCTTTGCCAAAGCTGCTTTCCCAGTTACCTGGTTCCCTACCACCACCTGCTGCCCCATACTGGCCTTCGATTCTCCAGTATTCTAACAGGATCCTAATTTCTGTAAATAATGGTGCGTGAGTTGAGGGATCACAGTCACTTGCATTCTCTGGATCTTGCTGTCACGTGCACCCAAAAGGGCCCCATTTTCAGATGGGGGTGGGGAGGCTTGTGGAAGAAGCTGGAGACTTCTGCCAGGAGAGAACAGTGCAGACCCGACCGTGTGTGCTCTGACGTTGGGGGGAAACTCCCACAAACTCGGGACGACCACCCCAGCTTCTCTGCAGCCCTCCTTGGCCGGGGATCCTCCAGCCCTGAATGGGCCCTGCTGCCTGTTGGCTCCCTCCTGCCCTCCCCCGTGTTGCTCATGTTACAATTGCCCTTTCTCACAGGGATGCTTGAAGATGGAAAGAAATTCGATTCCTCCCGGGACAGAAACAAGCCCTTTAAGTTTATGCTAGGCAAGCAGGAAGTGATTCGAGGCTGGGAAGAAGGGGTCGCCCAGGTATGTACCCATTCACTTACTCTAAGTGGTGTGGTTCCTGTGTTTCAAGGGTTTTATTGATTTTTGTTTATTTTATTTTTGTTGGTTTTGGTTTGGGGCCACACTGGGCAAGGCTGGGGGTCTACATGGGATACCAGGAATCAAGCCCGGGTCGGGCACATGTAAAAAAGCAAGTGCCTTACTCGCTGTCCAATCTGTCTGACTGCTTGGTTGAAGGTTTTAGAAAGTGTGTTTAGTGGGGCCAGGGTAACAAGATGCTCATGGTGGCTTTCACTTAGGCAGACCCTGCCTGGTGGCATGAGTTTATTTCCTTCTCTCCAAAGAGAATTGGAGATTTAAATGAAAGGGAGAGAAAGACTCATTCTTTCACCCAGACTACACTGCACCCAGCATCACTTCTATAAAACATTACTGCCTTATCTCCAGGTGAGTGGCTTTGCTTTCAGAAACTTGAAGCCGGGTGTCTAGATTTCCGTCCCTGCAGGGCAGAGGCTCGGCGGTCCAAGGAGAGAGCTTTGGGGCCTGCTTCCCTCGGGAATCTCTGCCAGCCCTCTGGCCCGCTGCGTCCTGCCTCGAGTCTAGCTGGCTCTGTGTCTGCAGCCCATCCCCCGTCTCTCGTGCCAGCCATTGTCCACACCATGGCTCTTCGGAGAATGTTCCAGCGCTGGAACAATAACTGTGTTGTGTGTTCCAAGAGCCCTAGCTGCTACGGAGATAGTGTTATCAGCCAGCTCCACGCCCCAGGCTGGCCAAGTATGACACTTGGGGCGCTGCCCAGGCTCCCTTGACCCAGTGTGCTTTGGCACCAGCCACAGCCTTGTCACCTGGGAGGAGTCTGAGGCCTACACACAGCCACCCCCACCTCCCCAGCACCCAGCAGTCTCGGGCTACTCTGTGTCTAGCTTCCTGGCGCCTAGAGCAGCTTCTAAACTCTTTGTGGTCCTGCTCTTTTTTAATTTTTTTTTTTAACTTTATTTGTTTTGCTTTTTGGATCACACCTGATGATGTACAGGGTTTACTCCTGGCTCTGAATTTAGGAGTCACTCCTGGCTCAGGGGACCATATGGGATGCCAGGGATCAAACCCAAGGCAAACACTCCCCCCACTGTGCTGTTACTCCAGCCCCACAAATGTATTCTTAAAAGTGATTTTTGTCTTGTTTTGGGGCCACACTCGGTGATGCTCAGGGCTTGTTCCCAGTTCAGTGCTCAGGGATCACTCCTGCTGGTGCTTGGGGTACCATATGGCGTCCAGGGAACCAAACCTGATTCACATGCCAATCAAATGCCCTACTCGCTACACTATCACTTTGGCCCCTTAAAAAAAGTGAATTTTGACCCTGACCATTGTATTTTTTCCCCATGAAAAACCATTGGTACTATGTTCTTTGGCAGTATTTTCACTTTACACAGGAGGGTACAGGGTACAGATGCTTGTATATTGCCGTTAAGCACATAGTAGTACATATGTATGCTGCTTTATGTCCCTGAAAATTTGAGTCTTTTCTGTATTCTTAAGAATGCAGATGGGGCCGGAGTGATAGCACAGCGGGTAGGGCGTTTGCCTTGCACGCGGCCAACCTGGGTTCGATCCCCGGCATTCTATATGGTCCCGCGAGCACCGCCAGGAGTGATTCCTGAGTACAGAGCCAGGAATAACCCCTGAGCATCGCTTGATGTGACCCAAAAAGAAAAAAAAAATGTGGAAAATGCAACGTAGTAGACTGCCCCCCACCCCCGAAAGTACCATTCTTTGGATATTGTCCTTTGAGCAAAAATGACATTTTTTCAAGCACTTAGGTGATTCTTGTTCTTTCAGTGACAGGCCACTGGCCACCAAGTGGGGACACTTCTCGGGTGTTGGCTGCCTGGAGTCAGGTTCTTCAGCCCTTAGTAGAGAGGCTAAGCTCCTTGGTTGTTTCTGGAGCCAGGGTAGGGTCTGGCTGCGGCCGGATTCAGGGACTGTCCTACCACACCAGCTGCAGACTCTGGGCACTGGCCCTGGCCAAGGCACCCAGGTAGACGCAGCTCATGGAGGCTGTCAGAACTGTGCAGCTAACGGTCTCTCGTTCCTCTCTCAGATGAGTGTGGGCCAGAGAGCCAAACTGACCATCTCTCCAGACTACGCCTATGGTGCCACTGGACACCCAGGCATCATCCCACCCAACGCCACTCTCGTCTTTGACGTGGAACTTCTAAAGCTGGAATGACAGGAATGGCTCCCCCCCCCTGCGTTCCCCCTGGTAAGGATATGGACGAGTGGGCGGCAGAAAGAGCCAGACTCTCAGCGCTGGCATTGGGTGGTCTGGTAACTGTGTGTGCTGCAGAGTGACTGTCGCCTCCCGCACGCCCAGCCCTGAGGCACCACTGGGAGAGAGAGAGAGAGATCTTGGGGGGGTGTGAAAGATGTTGGGTGAATGTGTGTGCAGTGCTTGGGCAAATGCGAGAGTGTGTGTGCGGACATGCAGTGCTTGGGCGAGTATGTGCGTATGTGTGTGCGTGTGTGTGTGCGCGCGTGCATGCAGTGCTTGGGCCAGTATGTGAGAGTTGTGTGCGCGCGTGTGTGCGCGCGTGCATGCAGTGCTTGGGCCGGTATGCGAATGTGTGTGTGTCGGGCCACTCTCAGCAGTGCTCAGATTCCCTCCTTCCTCTGTGCCCAGAGATCACACCCAGGTTAACTGTGCCAGGCAGGCGCCCTACCCACTGTACTCTCTCACCAGCCTCCATGCTGTTGGTAGGGTTTTGTTGTTGGGAACTGAACATATAGTGCCAAGTTTGTGGGACCAACATTTTTGTTTCAAGAAAACTGTTGCTGTCCGGATCGTGCTTCCGCGGTCCCCAGCCACCTGCCTCGGGGGCAGACTCAGCCACTTCAGACAGCAGGCCAGCTTGTTACTATGGGGCGAAATCGGGGTCAGAGTTTGCCTCTGCAGCTAAAGGGTTTCTCCCCTAGTCCTGTGAAGGCTTTGAGGGACGCTGGTCCCCCTTCCTCTGGAACATCTGAGGTCCCCGAGAGAAGGGTTTCCCTGCAGGCCACAGGACACTGGGACCCCCTTCTGCTTCTGCTCCCCTCCCTTCATTTCTAGCCACTGAGCGTGGCATCCTCGTGGCACATAACATTGACAGATGAGAATCAAATTCCAGGGTACTTGAGTGCTAGTTGGTCCTCGGGGGCTGAGTGGGCAGGGGAGGAGCCAGCAGGGACTTTGTTGAGGGCTGCAGTGGCGTCGCTTGCGCCTGTCGTGGCCTTCTTCCCATGGAGGGGCATCTTTATGATTCCCTCTTTGGGGGCCATATCCACCGGTGCTTGGGGAGTTGCGAGGTGGCGGGGATTGAACCCCCAGGATCCCACGTGCAAAGTCTCCTTTAAGCATCTCCCAGGCCCTGTTCTTCCTGCCAGGGGGAGAGTCCCAAGGCTCCTCAAGCCTTTGTCTGCCCCTGTCCAAACCCTCCATGCTGCTCTGAGAACAGCATCACCTACCAAAGGCCTATCGGAGAGCCTGACAGTGTGCACTGAAAGGACGAGCACCTCAGCACAACCCTGTCTGCCCACTGCCAAAAAGGTCGGCACTTACTGCAGGGGTCTGGAAGGAACCACAAGGGCCAACCCAGAAAGTTGCAGGTTCTGGTAAATGAAGGAAGACCAGACGTACTTACTTGAGGAACCTGGGGCCTCACTCGTGCAAGGCAGGTGCTCTGCCGCTCAGTGGCACGCCCTCTGCTGCCCTCCCCTCTCCTCCCCTCCCTGCGAAGATTCAGCTGAGCCACTGGGTCTCTGGCTGCAGCAGAGGTGACTGTGCTGGCTGGGAAGGAGCTTGGGGTGGCCCCTTGTCTGGCCTGCCCTAGACAGGAAACTTAACCAGGTTGCTGGAACTCAGACTCACCTGCTTTCTGTCCCCAGCAGATGTGCCATGGAGGGACCTGGCACCCCCGGCGCCAGCAGGCGGATCCACACGGAGCTTCCCCGACGTTCCACTCCACTCTGTACAAACCTCTCCCGACTGGATGTGTGCTGACACCTGGCTTTGCTCCCCCCCTCCCCCCTCGTGTGTGTGTGTGTGTTGACCGACTCTATGCCATAAACCTCAAGTTACTCAGTTTATTTTGTTTCATTTTGGGGTGATGATTCAGTTTCAGACGTTTGGAATAGGTTTCCAATTAAGTATTTGTCGAGTATTAACAGCACAAGTCATGGGTTAACTTTAGAATAGGAATTGGTGGAGGGAGGGGGAGGGAGTTGCAAGAATTGTTATTTTATTTTCTTCTTTTCTTGGATGAAATTTTTATTATATATTAAACATTCTTGCTGCTGCGCTGTGAAGCCATAGCAGATTTGAGGCGCTCTTGAGGGCCCAAATACTCTCCACGTCGAGAGGAGTCCTTGGGTTGAATGAACAGCCCTACCTAAAACTGAAGCGGGAGGGGGGACTCTGCCCTCCCCGCCCGCCCCGCCCTCCCCTTGAATCCTTTGCCTTCGAAAGCAGATTGTTCTCACCGCCACGGACACTGCAGGTACCCGTCCCGGGCCAGGCGGCACCCCCGAAGCCTTCTGTGGCCTGGCCTGTCCCCTCCCCCCCCCCCAATCCTGTGGTTTTTCTAATGGATATTCAGGACTTTTGTAATCTAGCTATCCAAACTTCACTTCCTAAATTTTAAGAACTTCAACCGAACGTTTTAAGTTGAAGGTGCTGTTTGTAGACACTCACCACCAGTGAAAGCCCCGTCCTCAGCCCCGCCTTGGGTGTTCTCTTAGGATTCAGGCTGCTGTCGCAGCGTCGGCATCTCCGTCCCTGATGCTCAGCGCCCCCGCCCCCGCCCCTCTCACCCCTTTGCTGTCCTGTGTAGTGATTTGGTGAGAGGCTATCGCTGCCTCCCCCCCTCCCCTCTGCACTATGTATGAGTTTCCGGTTTTATTATTGCAATAAAAGTGCTTTATGCTGGCTTTTCTCAGCTCTGTGTGATGCTACTCACTCTCAGCTGTTCTTGGGGGCTGGGGTTGGGGGGCAGGGGGCCGTGCGACAGTGGATGGAGCCCAAGGTGGTGTGTTGGAAATGAATCTGAACAGTGGACATGCTCTCCTGTTTGCCGATCCAGGCGGTGGGGATGGAAGGAGGTAGGTTTGCATCCGGGGATCAGCATGGGGTCATCTGGGAGCACCCCCATGACCATCACCAAATGTCCATTAAATGCCTGGGAGAAGTGGGGGTCTCTGGGCAGCGCGAGGTGTGACCAGTTCACAGCCCAGGGGGGAAGTGTCACTGTCATGTCAGTGTGTAGAGCCACGGAGAGAGCTCTGAAGACCCTACACGAGGCCTTTCATAGGGTCGCTGGCACTTCTCGGCCCTCTGAGCACCACCAGGTGTGTCTCTGGTTGGCCCTTAGCATCACCAGGTCCAGCTACCGAAACTGTCAGGCCTGCACCCCCTAGTGTGGCCATAAGATGTTTAATGGTTTTCTAAATACATCCTTTAATTAATGTAGTAATGTTTCAGGTTTGTATCGCTACCCGAAGTTCTTTTGTCTTGTGTTTTAGGCCACACCTGGCTGTGCTCGGTGCTGACAACTGGCAGGGCTCAGGGACCTTCTAGGGTACCAGGGAGTGAACCTGGGTTGGCCACATGCAGGGCAGACATGCTGTCCACTGTCCTGTCCCTCTGGCCCCCTTTACCCAGAGGTGTCATTAACATTGCCACACCAAGGAGATGGGCAGCTCAGAGGGCTGGAACATGCTGCACGGGCATCGTTGCTGCCTCGTTCCCATCCCTGGCGCTGCATGGCCCCTCAGCACTGCTGGCTGCAGCCCTCATGGGAGCACACGGCGGGAGGCTTGGGACCCAGCACGCCACAGCCTGAGCAGCACCACCCCATCCCCAGGCTCGGAACTGAGCCTCTGGTGCGGGGACCCCAGAAAGGTCTTGTTTTTTGTTTCCTTTTGCTCACACCCAGCTGTGCTCAGGGCTTACTCCTGGCTCTGCACTCAGGAATCAGGAACCATATGGCAATTCCTGGCAGGGTTTAGGGGACATATGGGGTGTTGGGGATAGAACCCAAGTCTGTCACATGCAAGGCAAGTGCTCTGCCCACTCTACTTTCCCTCCAGCCCCCAAATAAAAGATTTTGATGGTGAACCACCAACATGTCCGCCTCCAGGACACTCATTTCTTTTAGACGACATTTCAGGATAAAGGGCAGCATCACTGTACGTATCATTGAAGTGCAGTATTTTACTCCGATGCCCGTGATGCAGAGTAGTGGCATCATCTTGAAGAGCCTCTTGGCCTTTTCCTGTCAGCCCCATCCCGCCTTCAGGTAGAGGTTTTAATTTAGATTATTACTTTTTACCATAGTGTTGCTTGTTCTAAAAGTTGGTTAAGTAAATTTCTACACCAGGTCTTCTTGCCAGCTCTAGATAGGGCCTTCTCTTCCTGGGGAATTTGTTCTCATTGAACCTAAAGGTTCTGAGAGTAGTGTAGATTTGGGCCAGAACCAGGACCTCTCTCACTCCCCGAAAGTGTCCACGTCCTGTTCCCTGGGCTCTGAATGGCATCCTTTATGCAGCAGAGTGGGATGTCATACATTGTAAATACATGTCCTGGTGGCATGCCCACTCCCTAATCCTGTGGGCAGAGCTGGAGGCCTTACCCGAGACTGAAGAAACTGCTGCTAACTTTGAGGATGGGACAGGAACTTTGAGCTAGGGAACAGGTGGGAGAGACCTTGACATGAATTCTAGGACCTCCAGAAGGAACCAGCCCTGCGCGCAATTAGTGTTTGTCCATGGAGAGACTGATTTTGGTCTGTCAGCTTTCCTAACTGGAACCTGATCAGACAGTTGGCCAATCATCACATACCAAAACCGAGCCCCACGCATGTCCCAGAGCAGGAAAATGGGCTAGTTCCAAAAGAAATGGAAAACTTCCAGAAGCCCCCACAAACACCCACTTTCCCTCCTATTTGGCGGCCAGAACTGAATCTGGGATATTCACGTGCTCCCACCACCCGCCACCTTCCACCCGGGATTGGGTAAGGCCCCAGACTGCCCTGAAATCCAGAGCCTTGCAGTGAAATGAGGGTTCTTTTAGGAAGGAACTGCTTTCTATTTTTTTTTTGGAGGGGGTCACACCTGGCGATGCACAGGGGTTACTCCTGGCTCTACACCCAGGAGTTACTCCTGGCGGTGCTCAGGGGACCATATATGATGCTGGGAATCGAACCCGGGTCAGCCGCGTGCAAG